GTGCCCTGCCTGGACAGTTACTGGCCGTGGGTCTGGGTAAGGGCGGGTCCTTTCTGTGTGGCGCGCAGCTCGGAGCCACAGGCGGCTGGGGTAACTTTGGGCCTCCCTCATGCAGAGCAACTCTGGAGGGCCCTGTCCGCTGCTGCGGCCGGCAGCTTTGTTAGTGTCTGTTCCTCCCTTGCACATTTCAGCCCTTGCAGCAGGGTGCAGCAGCCTTTCTCCTTCGTTAGGAGCTGATGTTTCCTAGTCTAGAAAAACCTTTTAAATTCAAATTAAAGCACCATTTACTGTGTGCTGTTTGGGGTAACTGGCAGCCAGACCAAAGCGCATTCCCATTCTTGCCCAGCCCAGATTGACCCTGGGAAGACCCAGTGGGTTCGAGCAAGGGTGGGGGCCCGCACCTGACCGGGAGCCCAGTGGTGTGAACTCACCCAGTTGACTCATTCTTGGTAAACTCTGACAACTCAAAAAAATAAAGCGCGGTTTGATGAGGGAGCAGTGCTAGGCAGTAAACTGCTGCAGTGTGTTTTTAAACCAAAAGGAATGAGCTTGACTGATTCCATGGGAGGGCGAGCTTTCAAAGCAGCCAGAAAAACAAAATCTGGATCCTGGAGACAGCAGCCTTTACCTGTCAGTGAGTGAGCGGACTGGTTACAGGCATAGGCAGCCAGCCGTCTTCACTGTGACGCATGCGCCAGCTCTGGATGGGGGTGGGGTCAGAGAGACAGACTGGAAGACCCAGACGTGCTGGCTGCTCAGCTACATCCTTCACTCTTTGTTTTGAGAGCAGGTCTTTCCCCAGGCTGTCCCTGCGAGTGGCCTGCTGCATCTCACTGAGCAGCTGAGGCTGCAAGTTTGGGCCACTGTACCCAGCTCATACATGTATTTTAAAATGTTAATGTCTGTTCAGACAAGTTTGCATCAAGGTCCCAGTACTTTCCATTTGCTGAGTACTTTTTTTAAAATGTATTTAGTGCAGAGTCTACAGGGTCTCACTACGTAGATTGGACTCATAGTGATCCGAATGTTGTCAGCCTCCCAAGTGCTAGGATTACAGGCGCGTCCACCATGCCCAGTCTCAGTTGAGATTTCAGCTCGCCCTAGCGGTGGCCGGCACAGCATGCTGGGGATGGAACCCCACTGCTGCACTCTGCCTAAGCAGGTGCTGTAACCCGCTGAGCTATCAGGCCAGCCTGCTGAGTACTTTTTGTGTTTCCCTCAACCAGATAGGAATGGCACAAGGATTAGCATTTTCACCCTCAAGGAGACAGATACTTTTTGAGGGGAAACAGGGTCTTGCTCAGTTGCCCCCAGCTATCCTTGAATTTATGATCATCCTGCCTCAGTCTCCTGCATGCTGGGATTACAGGAGTGTGGTGACAGTAGCTCCCTCTGCTCTGTCTGTTGTCAATCCCAGAAACAAAACAAAACGAGACAGTGCTGTCCTGCTGGGGAGCCTGGTGGAGGCTGGCCGCCAGCACGCAGGCTTCCTCTGCAAATGCTGGTGCTTACTGAACTCCCATGATTCAGCTGGGCGTACTTTTGCACTTGGAGGTGACAAATCTTTCTAGAATTTGGGTTTTGCCCTTTTGTGTTCAGTGTTTCCAGGTTTCTGTTTTGGGTTTGTTCTGTTTTTTTTTTTTTGCGGTACTGAGGAGTGAACTCGGGACGTTGTGCTTGCCAGGCAGGCACTCAGTCCTGCTGCACTGTCTCCCTGGCCCCGAGGCTTCTGCATCTCATGCTGGAGTAGTCATGGTCCTTTTCTGAAATTCAGGCCTAAGTATTCCCGAACCCTAAAACATGGTACCCATGACAGAACTTGCCAGGTGCACAGGGCTCACGTGGGGTGCAGTGTTGTGCAGAGCTCACTCACATGGGGTGGCAGTGACAGAATTCCCAAGTGAGGGACTAAAAGGGTGGCAAGAATGTGCCAAGGCTCTACAGCAGAAGTGGCTCTCGGCTCAGCACATCTGCTAGGGGCAATGCATAGGAAAGGGCATGAGCACCTTGCAGCCTGCCCCCTGCACTCGCCTTCGCAGGTGAAGCTGCTCAGCAGTGAGCAGCCTCGGGAGGCTGAGGCTGGAGTCGCTTTGAGCGGGTCCTGTTCTCCCTGGTCTTGTGGCTTGGAATGGCCCCTCACCTGGGTGGGAGCGGAGACTCCTGGTGGGTGAGGATGGGTGCGTTGGCTTGGTGTCTGCAGGCCTGGCTTTTGGGAGGGACTGGTCCCCCAGCTGTGTCCTTTTCCCTGTCACTTTGCGGGGCACCTGACGATTGAAGAGTGGCTTGTACCGTTGCCGCACACAGGACCAGACCTGCCTTCCACTGCCCAGTGCCTGAGCTTGGTACCTGTGACTACAGTGGTCCGGAGAGCCTGGGGTGCCCAGCTGCCGTGGGCGGCACCTGGGAGCCGCTTCTTCACAGAGACCTGGGGTCCTGTCCCTGTGGCACAGAGAACAGTCGAGGTCGCACCCTCTTTCGTGTCTGCCAGTGGCCATGCCCTCGCCTGTCTGCTGCGGCAAGCCTGGGCCTGGGGCAGAGTGGAGCGCAGAACCCGAGGCTGTGTGGGCCAGGCCCTTCTCTCTGTTGGTGCTGGCCACGCTGCACTCCTGCTGCTTTTTAGCACAGCCTCCTGCAGCTACATTGCACATGAGTCCCACTTTGAGATGCATCCTGTCTGCCAGACCTGGCATTATTTTTCTTCTTCACACTTATTTCATATAGTGTATGTCTTTATGTTGCAGCCTATAATTAATACAGTGGTCTGCTCCCGCTCATGGGATATATTCCAGGATCCCCGGTGGATACCAGAAACCACACATAGTACAAATGCCTTTACACACTGTACCCTCTCTTTTCACCCTGTACACACCATCTTTTCTAAATACACACACAATAAATTTTAAGCTCTTTGCTTAGAGGAAGCACTTTTATGGCTTCTTTGCATATGCAAATTGCCAGTCTGAAAGGCTGCTTGAACACACTGAGACCTCAATAATGTGAAATGGAGACCTATATTGTCAGGAGGGTAGCATACACAGTGTGGATCTGTAGACAAAAAGATGGTTCATCTTGGGAGGCTTAGGCAAGAAAATCAATGCAAGCTCAAGACCAGCCTGAGCTATAAAGTGAGCTCAAGGCCAGCCTGAGCTGCATAGTGAGACCCTGTATCAAAAGAAAAAAAAAAGATTCTCTGGCAGAATGGTGTGAGATTTCATTACATTAGTCAGGACGGTGTACCATTCAGAATATGACTTGTTTCTGATCCTTCATGTTTTTTTTTTTTTTTTTTTTCCTTTTGGCAGAACTGGGGATTGAACTCAGGCCATTGTGCTTGCCAGGGAAGCGCTTATTCCACTGAGCCATCTCCCCGGCCCTACCTTCATGTATTTTTTTACTGATTGATGAGTAGTTGAAGCTGAGGGTGAAAGGACTTCTGTACATGTGTGTTTTTCTCCTTTGACTTACTCCTTCTGCAGCCCCAGGAGCTTGGGGTATGATTAGGCCCTTAAGGTGACTGCAGTGAGAAGGAAGAAGTGGATGGGGGCGCCCTCCGCTGAAGGTGTCTCCTGGCAGCTGTGTAAACACAGCCTGTCGGGCGCGGCCTGGGGAAGTTTGGAGAAGGATTTCACACACCACTGTCCAGCCTGGTGTCGGCCTGATGGGGGCCTTGGGGCACAGTGGCTCTCCCTTCTCCCTTTTCATCATAGGCATCTGCAGAATAGCAAGCAGCTTTTGGAAAATTATTGTTGTTGTTTTCCACTTGTTCTTGTTCCCCTTGTTGTTTTTCTGCTTTTTCATTACATTGAATATGTTTCTTAAAGCTTGTGAAAAGTTCTGCAGCCCCAAGAGAACAGTTAGTTCTCAAGCTGAGGAGAAAAGCAGCTAAAGAGCAGATATGTTGCTGCCAGCAAAATCACCTCTTGTGTGTGGTTTTGTAGCAGAGCTACTGGATTTATATGGACAGAAGAGCATTTCCTCAGGGCTCGGCCCAGCATGGGCTTGCACTCGGATTCTTTGGGGCAGAGCTCGTAGCCGGGCTCCTCAGGCCTCCAGACTCTAGATTCCACACCTCCTTCGGTAGCATGCCATGGTCCGTGGTAGTCATGGACTGAATGCTGTTGCCTTCTTTTCAGTCAGGCTGCTCACTGCATGCCAGGGCCATGCTGTTAACCTGGGCTCTCACACCCTGCTCTGTCAGCGCAGCTGTCCTCTGCAGAATGGCTCACTGTTAGAAATTCCAGGACCTGGAAAGCAGCAGCACCAGATCCAAGATGGCGGCCAGCAGGAGGCTGATGAAGGAGCTTGAAGAGATCCGCAAATGTGGAATGAAGAACTTCCGTAACATCCAGGTTATTGAAGCTAATTTATTGACTTGGCAAGGGCTTATTGTTCCTGACAACCCTCCATATGATAAGGGGGCGTTTAGAATTGAAATCAACTTCCCAGCAGAGTATCCATTCAAACCACCGAAGATCACATTTAAAACAAAGTCTATCACCCAAACATTGATGAAAAAGGGCAAGTCTGCCTGCCGGTAATTAGTGCTGAGAACTGGAAGCCAGAGACCAAGACCGACCAAGTAATCCAGTCTCTCATAGCACTGGTGAATGACCCCCAGCCTGAGCACCCGCTCCGGGCTGACCTAGCTGAAGAATACTCTAAGGACCGTAAAAAATTCTGTAAGAATGCTGAAGAGTTTACAAAGAAATATGGGGAAAAGCGACCTGTGGACTGAAATCTGCCACAAATGATTCCAGCAAGTGTGAGCAGAGACCCCACGCAGTGCATTCAGACATCCCGCAAAGCAGGACTCTGGAAAATTGACATGTGCCACCACTTGGCGTTCACTTGTGGCAGTTACTAACTTTCTACAGTTTTCGTAATCAAAAGTGATCTAGTAACCTGTAAAGAAAGGATTAAAAATTTCAGATAATCTAAAAAAAAAAAAAAAAAAAGAAAGAAAGAAATTCCAGGACCTTATTTTTCCTCTCAGTCCGCTAATGTTCGCCTGTCCCATCCAGCCTGTATTCTTTCATTTTTAAAGATTTCCTTGCTTGTTTCCAGCTTCTCTGTATAGAAACTGAAAAGATCAGCTGTGAAAAGGCCTTTTAATTCAGAAGCAGAGTAAATGACTCTTCTATTGTTTTCTGTTAGGTACATGCCTGAGATCAAATCCCCAGATACTGCTGTTAGAATCTTGCTCTTACAGAGTGCTGCTAAGCGTCCATATGCATGCGCTTGCATCCTTCTCCTCATTGCTTGCGAAGTAGTTCTGCTTTGGGGTTACCTGTATCTGCGCTCCTCCCTGAGTGTCCTAGTCTTGGGGGCCAGGTGTGCTGCTCTGTGCTGATCTAGCTGACAATCATTTGAACCAGTAGATAGGTGCTTTTGCGCTTAGACAATGTGTCTTCCTGGTAGCCTCCTGCCCTGGGCTGCCAGCACCTCCCCTTACCTTCTGTTGCTCTTGAGACTTAGACATGTGTACTGGGGACTGTGACAGTGACTGGGAATTCCTCGGTGGCCTGTGGTGGACAGGGACCAGGGTGGGGTCAGCAGTCCACAGCACTCAGACCAAAGGTGGGTTCAACAAGGGGTGCCGGCAGCAGCGCCCTGGAGTCCTGGCTGGTCCTCAGGCCGACACCAGGAGGGAGCGCTGGGGGCCTGCTGCATGCGAGGCACTGCTTAACAGGCCCGGTGCGCATTACATCATTGGATCTTCTTACTCTTAAGGCAAGTACTTGACGGTGTTACCCATTTCATAGGCAGAGGGTTAAATAACTTGCCCAAGCCGCATCCGCGTTGTTAGTAAGTGGAACAGTTTTAAACCCTCGCTGTCTTGTGAAGGCCTCAGCACAAAGCTGTTTTGCTGGCCCAAGGGAGGCCTTTATATCTTAAAAAGCACCTTCCAGCTTAATACCTGACTAGGATTCATTTAGTGTGGCCTGTTGTTAAATTAGTAAGAATTATCCGTAAGGTAAATCTGTCTGTGGTGGGCAGCTTGTCCATCAGGTCTTCAGTCTTGGTACTACAGACTGGCTCCGCAGGGACCCAGCGCCAGGATTGGACAGCTGTGGGTGGCCGCGACAGCGGTGGCCGCTCTCATGTGGGAGCCGCAGTGTTCTCAGTTTGCCGCCACAGGCGGGGGCGAGAGGTGCCAGGGACAGGAGAGCTGTCGGGGACGCAGTCCCCGGGGACCCCCTTTGCACACTCAGTGGTTGCCGGCTCCTGGCTCTAGCCCACAGCCAGGTGGCTTCAGTGTGAGTGCTGTGGGCTGACTGGGTGAAGGGTTCTCCCTGGAGTAAGTGCAGAAGGCGGCACTTCAGCGTGGCATGCGGAGGACTGACTTGTCTTCTCCCTGCAAATTAAAATATTGATGATGATTTCTAGAAGAAGAATGGCCGAGAAAGATGAGACTGTGCGCCTCCTGACTTCAGTAGTGAAAATCTGGGCAGCGTGCACAGGAAGGATGCCTTGCTACCCTCTAACTGTAAGCCTTCCTTCAAATGGAGAGTGAGTGTGAGGAGCTATAGAAAGTTAGAGCGTGGAGGTGAATGTAACTGCCATCTCCAAGATGCTAAGCGAGAGCAAATACATACTGTGTATCCTTCTACGTCTAACTGCTTTTCTGAACTTTTTGTTACTATTATTATTTTGGTGGTACCAGGGATCAAACTCGGGATCTTGTGCTTGCCAGGCAAGCACTTACTCCACTGAACTATCTCCCCAGCCCCATTTATGAACTTTTTATACTGACACTACAGTAAGAATACATTTTATGTCACACCTGAGGTCATAAATACACTAAGAACAAAAGTTTATGGAAGTCTCACTGAACAGTAAAGCACTTTGGTTCTCTGTTGTAATCAGTGAGTTAGTGTTTTTAACATGACGTTTACTTGATCATCCACTAATGTGTTTGGACCCAGCATTATAAAAAGGCCCACTGAACGTGAGGCTTTCGTGGTCATTCGGGGAGCATCTAGAAAAGCACTACCTGGGCCCCCTCTGACGGGGGCGGGGGTGCGGTGGAGGGCAGAAAGTGCTGCCTCGCCGCCCCAGGTTGGCGGCCACAGTGCCCGCTGGGCTCCTCCCGCCGCCTGTTTGTTGGGGCGCAGCTCTGCCGCCCCAGTGTGAGCGGCTCCAGCCCCGCGGCCGCTCGCATGCAGCTTCCCAGAAAGAGCTGCTCTGGAACTGAGAAGGGATGTTCAGAGCACGGCGCTTGCGTCACCTGCAGAGCGGGCTCTCGGGCTCACCTCTTTCCTTTTGGGTTTCAATTTGGAACTGGCACGTTAAGTTACTTTTAGGGATTAAAAAAGATATCTTTAGCGTGAAAAACTGCATGTGTCCATTGTGTATTCTTTGAAAAGAATTATTATGTTATAAAAATTATGTATGAAAAGCATTGAGAGAGACTAATCAGTGTCCTTCTTTCCTAACAGGTTTTAAAATGGAAAATTTCGATGCCTCGCTCAGTACCTACTTCAGGGCATGGCTGGGTCCCCGAGGTGAGGCGCTTTCTGCTTCTGCTGCCCGAAGCTCTGCCTGGCACCGCAGCCCTGGGGAGTCCAGCGTGAAGCTGCCAGAAGGCATTCTCCAGCTCTGTGATGAGACAGAGCTCACCCTCATAGCACCTGACTGTCAGGAAAGCTGCCACGGCTCTGCCTCGGGCAGTGTTGGCTGCGCAGTGTCCCCTGCTGACATCAGCAGGAGACCAGGCCAGGCTCCAGGGCCTTAGTCGAGGATGCGCTTCTGAGCGCTACCTGCGTCGATTGGGGCAGGCTGCGCTCGCTTGGCGTTTCGGGCGTGTCCCTTCCGCAGCTCTCTGCTTGCTGCCCTTAAACTCCTGGACTCAAGCAAGTCTCCCAGGCGTGCCTGTTTGGGCTGGGCCTTGTGCGCGCTGGCTAGCCAGAGCGGCACCAGCGAGCTACCTCCAGGCCTGCGGGCTTCTCCGTGCCACTCACTGCTGTTGGGCTCCTGCACTGCCATTAGGCCTCTTTTCATCTTTTAGCACATAAATCAGCTCCGTGGTCCCTTCTTTCAGTGTCTTATCTAGAAAGAAGAAACATTGTAGGTCCACAGATGCCCAGAATAACCACATAGCTTTTAAACAGATGAAGATGTTCACAGTTTCACTCATGACTTTTAAAACAAAGAACTTTATCTACCAGTGCATTACAAATGCAGTGCTGCTTGACCCCAGCACAGAGATTAACAGTGAGGGGGCTGGGGCTGTGGGCCCCAGTGCACACCTCGCGCTGTGCCAGGGGCCTGGGGGCACAGGCACGGCACGGCCTTGGGTCGGCGCTGGGTGCCATGGAGGTACTCTGCAGGGGCCGGGCGAGCGAGTGAGAGGGCAAGAGCAGCTGGTGGGCGTCAGCCCCGCCGTGTCCAGGAGGCACGAGGACGTGGGCTGCGAGGGACAGAGCCCAGCCACCGCCAGCCTGCCGGCAGGTGGTGACCATTACTTCCCACAATGCGTCACAAGGTCGGGCGGCGCCGGGGTCATTTGGGTGTTCTGTGATGCTAGCCAGAGTCCTCGCTTTGCCACCCGTCTTCAGGAGGGCCCCACCTCCCCTCATAGGGAGGCCGCAGCAGCTCAGGCAGCCTGTTCAGGGGAAGAACCAATGTGTCCCTGTGGCTCTAAGGAGGACGCTTCCCCAGAGCCTTTGTGGGTGGATGGAGATACTTGCCGGGTGACTCTGCAGCAGGATGCGAGGGGAACGTGTAGAGACCCCTTCTTCCCTCGGGAAGGGCCAGCTGAGCCTTGCAGGCGACCTAGCGTCAGGAGTCGACCATCAGCCGTCGTCCGTGAGGAGCACTCTCCCTGGCTGGTGGAGGGCCCTGGGCATGTGTCCCCTCCCTCCTGGCCTCTGCCTAGGGAAGGGTGTGGCGCAGGTTTCTTGCTCAAGCTCCTCCCCACGTCATCACTTGAATGGTCTGAATGCGATGCTGACCATTTTACCAGCCTGTTGTCTTTTTTTTTTTTTTTTTTTTTTTTTTTTTTTTTTTTTTTTTTTTTTATGTGTGTGTGTGTGGCCAGCTCAGCCCACCAGGGGGCGGGCTGGCTGGCATGTGGTGCTGGGGGATTGAACCGCGGTCCCTGTGCTTTGCTAAGCTTGTTCCAAGTAGGTGCCTTAGACCACTGAGCCATCTCACCAGCCCAGCCTGATGTCTTTTTGTCTTGCGTCACTGTCTCCTTGCTGTTGACCACTTGCTCCTAGAAGATGCTGCCTTTTGGTCAGGCGCTGGGTCGCATCCTGGGTGATGCGTTGGCTCAGAGGACTTAAGAGTTCTCAGATCCTGGGTTGTGGATTTCCTGACCCTGTGTCAGTCCAGCGACTCCAGCTGGTGGGAAACTCCACTTTATCTTGTTTTCTTTTAAGTATTGTAGGAGGCATAATTCATTATTTTATTTACCTAAAACCGTAAGTAATAGACATCATTCATGATACGTAGCTAAGGGCTCCTCCTCTGATGCTAAAAAGTCATCCTGGGCTGGTGAGATGGCTCAGTGGTCTAAAGCACCTACTTAGAACAAACTTAGCAAAGCACAGAGACCGCGGTTCAATCCCCCAGCACCACATGCCAGCCAGCCAGCCCCGCCCCCTGGTGGGCTGAGCTGGCCACACACACACACACACACACACAAATAAATAAAATTAAAAAAAAAAAGTCATCCTCTGCGTCTGCTTTGCCGGGGCTGGACGAAGCTGTTTGCTGGCATCCGCAAGGCCCTAGGCTCACTCCTCAGTGCCAGAAAGAAGCAGCCTGTGTGTACGAGGGCTGCGCATGGGTGGATGTGCACATACAGATATTAGGTGGCTCTGTAAGTTGTAATTAGAAAAAAATTTTGTGTTTCAAAACATTTATCTACCTTATTAATAACTTTTTCTTTTGTTGTTTTTCAGATACCAGAGTAAAAGGATGGTTTCTTCTAGACAATTATTTACCTACATTGGTCTGCTCTGTCATTTATTTAATGATTGTATGGCTGGGACCAAAATACATGAAGAATAAACAGCCGTTCTCTTGCCGGGGGATTTTAGTGGTGTATAACCTCGGGCTCACCCTGCTGTCTCTCTATATGTTTGTCGAGGTAAGTCCAGCACCTCCTTTGCGCTCCTTCTGTCCCCACTCAAATCCCGAGGGGAAGCGGCCGCCTGCTGTGGGGAGTGGGGTCCGACGGGGCACCCGAGCCTGCTAATGCATTGAGTATTTTTGAGATTGATTTTTCAAAATACCGGAGTCGTTTATATAGATGCCTTCTAGAGCAGGTGCCTTGAGTATTGATTCTCTTGTTATTTTTGTTTTGTGGGATATTGAGAACTCAGTCGCTGTGAGCAGGGTAGAGCAGAGCATGAAGGACAGGTGAAGGGCAGGTCTGAGCGAGACGTAGCGCAGCGCGCAGAGCAGCCTGCCTCTGCTGTGTAGGCCGGAAGCGGGGGTACTCGAGGGCAGCTCGGCCTCGTCCTGAGCTGCTCACGCGTTGGCTCTCACAGGTTCTTCTTTGAAAGCTAAGGCGAGTGGATGGCAAGGTCCACAGGGAGGTTTTGAGCAACTTGCATGCGCTCACACCCAGTTATTTCTTTGACATGACTGGGATGTTGGACATCAGATGTGATAGTCTCAGAGGCAGGTATTGTAGCATAAGGCAAAATGGAAGACCAGGACTCGGTGTGTAGCTCGATTAAGATGCCTGCCCAGCATCTGTAGGCCGTGCATCGCAACCTCAGTACGGGGGGACAAAAGGGAAAGGCACGTTGGAATCAGCACTTTGATCCCTCCTGTGTCCCGGAGGGCAGAACTCGGAGGCAGACGAGTGCTGCGCAGGAGTAGCATTTGTGTATGTGTTTTAGGGAAGGCCTCTGCACGTTCTGGGTTGCTAGCTCCTCTCAGGTGGAAAATCAAGCCATGATACAAACAGGTCTGGAATGCCTGTGTAGTTTCTTCAAATCTTTTTTATGGCCTGGCTGCAGCCATTGTATACCCGAGTGTTGGGCTCACCTCGAGGAAAGCACTGATCGCTGGAGGCGCCGCATCTGTGAGCTCTTTCCTCGTCCCGCACATCTCATGAACCGACACCGACATTAGAGATGAGAGCGACAGGTGCTCGCTAGCACTGCACTAGGCCTGACCCTCCAAGAAATGCTTGCAGCTGCTTTTTGCTTTTCTCTGTCCTATTCCAGATTGAGGTGGGATGGAGGCAGGGGTATGTGCAGGAGTGACTCCTCGCCCCACTGGGGTACAGCTCTCAGTGCACAAGGGACAGAAGTCCAGCAGCCATCAGGTTCTGCAGCGAACTGCACCTGCCACAACTCACAGGTGGTAGAGCGGCTCTGTAAGAAGCTGCAGAGTGTATTATTATGCCTGAGTATTATAGAGAAACAGATTCATGATGACTGAATCTTAGAGAACTTAAGCATTTGCTTCAGATGTTTCTCAACCCTTAGAGGTAGAACTATTAACTTCATAACTGAGTGTCCCTCAGCAGATACTCCTGTGGTAAAGAAGACAAGTGCTCTGTCTTGCTGTACAAATTGCATCTGAGCGGGCTGGGAGTCGAAGACCCTGCTCCACTGTCAAGTGCAGCTGTCCTCTGCGGGGCGTCTCGGCTCCATGGGACGTAAGAAATGCCCATGTTCACGATTCAGAGTACCTGAGAGGTAGCAGGTGAGCAGGCAGCCACCCCTCACATCAGTCACATTTATAAAATACGAGGAGAGAGACGCCTTCGTAAGCCCGGAGATAACTCCCTTTGGTTTTTAGTTCACTTCGTATGCGTATGTAGACCCCGTTAGTGAGGCCGCTACCGTGTGTTCTTGGCCAGCTCTCATTTAGGTCTAGGCTGTTCTCACGTGGCATTTCTGTGTCACTGAATACTAAGACACAGAAGGGCAGTCATAGAGCTTTGCTTCAGATCAAACTAAAGAGGTTGGTGAGGCCCGTCCTGGGCACGCATTTTAGAGAAACGTCACGTGGGGTGGAACTGGCCACACACCTGTGTGTGTAGGTTTGGGGTGTTACTCTTTCCCGCCTGCTTACCTACATATTTGAGTCTGCAAAGAATTTTTAAAGTAAGTAGTCTTTGGTGTCTTTATTCTGTGTTATAAATTCTGAGCCACTTTGACAAGTTCTGGGTTGGTATGTGGAAAATCAGTGGTTGCAAAAGGAGATGAAGACAGCTCAGGTGAAGACTAGTGGGAGCAAGATGACCAGATCCCCATTTCAAGCCCAAGCTGGGTGTAAACAGAGGTGGCATGTGGACTCAGGTGGTGACGTGTGTGGCTGGAAGGAAGACCAAGAAAAAGAGGTGCGCTTCTAGTGACCTCACATACTTAGGGCTTGAAGGGCAGGTACATGATTTGAGGGATACTGTAACAGTAGTACTTTTTTTTGGTGTCAGGAATCAAGCTCAGGACCTCGTGCTTGCCAGGCAGATGCTGTGCTGCTGAGCGACGTCCCCAGCCCTGTGGTACGTTTCAGTTTGAAAGTATAGGATCTCTGGCAAGCTCATCTGCTGCCAGATCCATGCCAGTTAATCTTTATTTTTACTTCTTCTTTTTTTTTTTGGTACCAGGGATCAAACTCAGGATCTTGCATTTGCCAAGCAAGCACTTACTCAACTGAGCTCTCTCTCCAGCCCCTAATCTTTATTTTTAGAATGGAACGCTTACCCTTGCCATTGTATCTTTGCATTAGAAACTTGTGTTTTGTCATTTATAGGGACTCAGAGTTAAAAGTTGTCTTGAGTTTGGACTTTTTAGCAGCGCTACTATCGTTGAGTCTTTGGGGAAGGGATTACTACATTTTCAGACGTACAGAGGAGTTATGGTGTATCAGGCAAAATGATGACCTTCATGTTGTATGTGTTTAGAGATTTGGTGTGGTTTAAGGAGGAGTTGACAAGGAGTGGATTTATGCCAGTCTGCATTGTCAGTTTAGCTGGAAGCCTGGCTGTATTAAAGCCTGACACTCAGGGCTGAGGGAGGCGTGCGGCAAGGGCGTGGCGGGAGTGGGTCTCCCATTGGTGGTCCCCTTGCTTGTGTGCTCCCCTAGGCCTGCCACCAGACAACCACAGCTTTGAGTGTCTGAGTTAAGTGGAACCTGCCCTGCTCTAAGCTGTAGGTGTTAGGTGTTTTGTTCCAGCAATGGAGAGTGGAGTGTACAGGTGCTGTCTGACATCACGGACAGCGGAGATGATTCTGAAGTAGAATTCCACATTGTAGAAGAGAAACTTTGTACTAGTTATTTGGTCCTTTTCTATTACTGTTAGTGTGTTCGTATTTGCAGCGCATGTTTACTTTCCTGGGAACTGGTACAGTATGTACACCGTTCCTTTTAGTCATCCTGTCTCCTTCCCGCCCTCCCCTTCTATCCTTTCCTTGAGCCCTCTCTTTTTTAATGTTTGAAATATGTAATGTTTACAATTGTGAGTAATGTGTAGTTGGCACAGTACATAATATGTCTAATCTTTAAAATTGTTTTCTTTTTCAAAATTTCTTCCCTAATCCTTTCTGTATTAGCCTTTGGGAAACACTCTTAAATTTATTCTCCATCCTTTTGTATTACTTTTTGTTATTATGTTCTTGGTTTCTGCAGGTTTCTTTTTTATGTAGAGTAAAATGCCATTCTTGTTTCGTGGATGCAATAGCTTTTATGTTGAGAATACTTTTTCATTGTTTTGTTCGCCATCTCTCCTTACGAGTCCAAGCAGCTGTACTTCTTCCAGGTCTCCTCTCCACCCTCCTCGTCCCCCACACTTCTTTCCTCGCATTTAAGGGGTGCTTCCTAATACTCTGGTTTCTCTTCAGATCGTATAAACCTTTCGCCTTTGCATAGGTGCTTCCTGCCTGTCCGCCCTCCCTTATTTGCTCTCCTCTTCTCCTGTGTGTTGCTTTTGGTCTCTGTCATTCGTGTCACAAGACTGCCTCTCTGTTCGATGCTCTCTGGGTGCCTGATCCTGCTGAGGAAAGCTGTGTGACAGAAGTGGTTGGGAGCTCTGATTGTGCTCGTGGTCCTGCCACTGGGGTTCCGTATGTCCTTTCTCTTGGCCTGCTCGGTGCCCTCAAAGAGGAGCATTCCCACCCTCCTCCTGGCAGGACCACACTAACATGTACGGGTTTGTAGGGCTTCCAGTCCATAGTGGCAGGCAGGCTCTGGGGCAGGAGCGAAGGCCGTAGCATGCTCTTTGGAGGCCTTGGGGCACCTCGCGGATGTACCCTCAGGTCACAGTTTGCTGAGGTAGGCCGCACATGCAGGGCCGGGCCTTCAGCCTTCCTGTCCTTAGCGTGACGGCTGCCTGCGCTTCTCTCCCAGCTCGTCCGTCACTTCCTCCATCTGCAGCAGGTGTGCAGGCAGCAAGGTTGTGCGAGGGCCACGGTGCAGCGCTGAGTGGCTGAGGCCCAGCTCTGCTCTGTGCCAGCTGGCAGTGGGGGCAGCAGGGCACGGGCAAGGGCTAACCCTGAGCCCGCCTTGCCATCCCTGCTGGCCCACGGGAACCTTGCCTTTCACCAGTAGCAAGCCTAGCTATTTGGTCTTCTGTGGGGATCCGTTGGGCTTACTGTGAAGGTTTTACCTACTGGGGAGACCTGGAATGAGGAAGATGGACAAGACAAAAGCTGGGCTGGGTGGTCACCAGCCGGCCTGATGGGCAAGATTACACTCCACCTCACAACGAAACAATCCTGTATTTATGCTTTTGCAAAGGTATTAACACAAGGTTGCCTAGCAACTAATAGCTGGCCTCAACCAGGCAGGATGTTTTTCTCCAGAGTGAGGTAGCTTGTTTACGTTAGGCACTGTGGCCCAGTCCCACCTACACACCTTTGATCAATTTCCTACCTTCCTGCAGCTCCCAACAGTCTTTAGAAACCATTCTTACAGCAAATGTGAATCTTCCACCCCAGACTCAGAGCATACTTCACCCCAGTGGAAGCCTTTTGGAAACCGTCCATGGTCCCCCCCACGCCCGTGGTTGGAACTGCAGCTTTCCCTTCTCCCACTGGCAGCTCTGAGCTGCTTCTGGGACTGCGGGAGCCTTGCAGGCCGCCCTCGGGCTTCGGCCCGCCTCTGTGGGCCCGTCAGCAGGCTGCCATCCAGGCTCTGCCTCTGCAGGAGGAACCCGGTTGTGAGCTGTGGCCAGAGCACAGGGGATGTCCTTGGGGCTCGGCCTGTGCCCCCCTTGCTGCTGTGCGAAGCTGCCAGCGCCAAGGCGCCCGGCTGGGCTGCTGCAGGCCTCAGTCACTGGAGACCTGCAGAGACAGGAGCGCGGCTCTGTGGGGGTGGCTGCCTTCCTGGGCTTTGCAGACCTGCGACCTCCTGACTCTCAGCCTTAGTTCTCAGCGCACCCTGAGGGCTGTGCTGCTCGGGCTCCCTTGGCCTCCCCGAGGTCAGGGCCTCCTGCCCAGGCGCCTGGCCTGAGGACGTCCCTTCCATGCCTGCCCCCTGGCTGGGACAGCTGCCTTCTCCACCAGATGCATCCATCCGAGTGTCAGGAAAGGAGACAAGCAAGCGCCAGAGCCACGGTTGTGTGATGCTGAGCAATCAGAGGTGAGCCACGGCTCACACAAGGTCAGGTTTGAGTTAGAGCTGTGTTGTGAAAAGCGAGAGGTGATTCTGTCTTGAGTACTCAGAACACATAAAATACAGTTTTGAGAAAAGCATTGATAGCTGGATAGGTAGGTCTGACTTGGAATGACTCCAAACTTATTCTTTATTCTTTATTGCAGTTTTTATTTCAGATTGGAATTGGAATTAAAATATTTAAGGGCCAGAAAGATAACTCAGTAGAATA